GTTAATATTTTCAGAGATGTTATAATTCCGACCTTTGAATATCGTCCAGCAGATTCTCTGTGTTCGGGATTTTTAAGTTCTTTAATTGTGATCAATTGTAAAGGAGAATGTATAAATATTGTATATCCATCCATAAGAGTTTTAAATTACAGCTGTTTTAACTCGTTAGCCATAACCTTTACAGTGTTTGAATTGAAACTCAACAAAATAAACAAAAGGTTTTTACAAATAATAATACTCTGACGAGGTAAAATTGCCTTTACTTGCATAGGTTATTCCGGAGTTATATCTCCACATTTGATTTTTAGATCTAGAAAAATCACTGCAAGATATGTTTCTAAACGAAACTCTCGTGTATTTACTGACGTATATTTGTACCCATTAATGTATGCTGTATTAATATGCAAAAATAAGGAAATTTAAATTTTATATCAATTTAACACATCATTAATCATATATCAAGAACACTTGATATAATCTTTAAAGAGTTCCAAAAAAAAAAATGTAAGGGACTCTTTTTTGTTGGTGTCTTTCGGTATGTACATGAGTTTCCGGGATCGTGAGCGTTATTGGTAGTCTCGTTATTTTGGACAAAAAATGATAAGTTATTATACTATTATATAAGTCAGTAAATTCTTATGTTGAATAAGCTATTCTCTAGAGAATAATGCAATTTAAGAGGACTGTAAGATGTTAAACTGGAGGAAGTACGGTTCACAAATATCTGAGAAACTTGAGCTAGAATGTTTGTTTCCGATTCTCCTATAGATTGGTGATAACCTGAACGTTTAATAGTTTCGGGACGAACCTTTATATTAATACAGTGTACTGTTATTCTAGAACGGCCAACAAAATTTTCTGATTTCAGTTTGAATTTTTTTTAAAATGACCAATAAACGTCATACATGTATTCATTTTTTCCTGTTATTTTTACAGAAAGACAAATTTTCCTCAGACGACATTCTTCCGAAACACAAAAATCAATCTCATGATTGAAGGTTTGTTTCAAGGTGGTAACTATATGAGTAAATCTAAGCTGTCATCGAAAATAATGGAGCATAAATCTTGTCAACTATTCTGAACCCAATTCCTTCTTGCAAATCAAAACCTTAAATCGAAACCATTTATTGGGTAACCAAGGAACGTGTAATTAACGATTCTTTTCAGTAATTGCAATGTTGAGATATTAAGCACAAACATGGCTAACGCGGATTGATGGCCTAGTGGTTAAGGTCTCTTCCTCTCAACCCACAGATCATGGGTTCGAGCGCTACTCGGGTCACGACCATGTTTCTTTATATGACACCAGTATTGGCTAGTTCCAGGAAGTGAACTCGAAAGTGGTTAATATAAGTTGCAAGAACGTGTTTAGCAATCGAGCTTAAATAACTACATTTAAACCAAAAATGAAGACAGTTCGCGCAGATAAAAATAGTTGTTTGAGGCAGAGTCTCTCGTGAAAACTGTTAATGAGGTACCGCGAAGCTGAACTTATAGGAAATGTCTAAATCATAGTTAATCTAATTATATATGACAGTTGAAAGTCAGTACATGGCTCAGGTAAACCGGAATTCAAACGCAGCAATGTATAAGTTGCGTTATAATCAACGAAACATAAAAGAAACCAACCATTCAGTAGACAAGGTTTATTTATTCAGTATAATTTTGTTTGTGGTATTGTTTTTTTGTTTTATTTGTTTTTACAAAGGATTTGCACTTTTCGGCGACTTTCCTGGATATAGCCGGTGTATGCTTCGGCGTTGATGGATTTTGTACGTTTCTACGTCTGTGAGAAGACACTTTTAAATAACTGTTACATCCAATTGTGAATTTATTGTTGTCACTTATTAAAAATCGCTTTAATATATGATTTTGAATTGATCCATACAGCACACCGTACAATAAGCGATTACAAAACTGACATATAATGGTTATTATAAGGTGCCTTCTTACAGACGTAATTACTATTGCAGCCACATTCAGTTACCAAATACGCATTTAATCATTGTTTGTTGGTTTGTTTATTTGGGTTTTACGTCACGCTCACACAATATAGGTCATTAGGCGACATTCCAGCTTTACTGGTGGAAAAGGACCTCAGATGCCCTTCCGTGCAATATATCAGGCACGAACGAGAACTTTAGTAGAACCACCGACGTTCCGTTAGCTAGCTGGATAGTTTCCTTACATGTAAGAATACAAGGTCCCTGTCGGAGTCGAACCCACAGCGGTTAGGGGCAAGTGGTTTGAAGTCAACGACCTTAACAACTCGGACACGGACGTCCCATCTAATTATTGATAATCGAAAGTTATATATATATATATATATATATATATATATATATATATATATATATATATATATATATATATATATATATATATATATATATATATATATATATATATATATATATATATATATATAAATTAAATACCATTGTAAGATTAAATTGAAAGAACTTCCAGTATGATATGTGTACCATTATCAATGCTGCTCCACCCAGCTTTGTATTTGTTTTGTATTGTTTAGCAACATTTGAGTATTCGGTAATTATCGGCCTCCGAAGTAAGTGCTACGGATTTTATAGTACAGCATAACGGTACACATGGTTTATCTATGGCATAAAGTAACTAACACAACACATGCCTCTGTGAAGAAGAGTTAAGATTTTTATTTTCAAATTGTAGGTGACCATCTCAATTAAACATTTTTTTTTCTGTTTTCTTTTTCATAGTTTTCAAAACTCAAGTATCATGTTTTAAGGCACGCAAATCACCTACCGCGCGACTTAACATATTGGAATTATGACAAATTACACAGTTTTGCATGTATGTATCAAAGTTATGAAAATAAAGACACCAGAAAGTAAACAAATTATTCATCCACTAATTTTGTATATGATTAAAAAATAGTTTGAGGATATGAACTTGAAACTGCGCGACTGTTATGCCATCATACTTACAACTAGGTCATCGGTCGTAAGTATGATTTAATGTATCGAGAACTATATGCTGTAATTACAAATCAATTGTTTAATCGTAATAAATTAAGGAAACTAAGGAAAAAGCTTCCGAAAATTAATCAGTCTCAGGTAAATATTGCAAAACAATACTTTCAGAGTTTTATCGTTTTGATATATATTGCAGCTTTTGACTTAAATAAAAATGATGTACACGTACGATACTTTTCTATCCCAAGGACCGTCATGTGCTTTGAATAGTGAAACAATTAATTTCATATTCTGTGAAAGGTGTTATTATCAGAAATTTGATACATAATAAGCAAGTATTCATTCAAAAACATTACATGTATAAAGTGAGAATTCTTTCTGAAAAGTATTAACAAAGGACTTGTAAATCATATTACATAGTAAAGACATGTACAACAAGTATAGAAAATGCGTTTTATAAAGGAAAAACAACAACACAAACAACAACAACAACAACAACAATAAAACCACGCACGCACACACACACACACACACACATGCAAGCACGCCCCACCGAACAACCAACCAATCAACCAACCAAACCAATCAGCCAAACAATCAAACAACCAACCTATTAACCAACCAACAAAAAAACACAAATAATAACAACTGCAAAACACATGCATGCATAAACTCACGCACACACACACACACACACACACACACACACACACACACACACACACACACACACACACACACACACACACACACACACACACACACACACACACACACACACACACACACACACACACACACACACACACACACACACACACACACACACACACACACACACACACACACACACACACACACACACACACGAACGCACAATTCAACTAACTAACCAACAAGTCAGCCAGTCAACCAACCAATCAACCAAGCAACCAACCGAACAAACAAACAAATAAAACGACGTACATTATAAACTTCTTTACTTAAATGTATTGCTTGTAACAGATACTAGGTATAGCAATTCTATTGAGATGACAATTAGCAAAAATGTATCTGAGACCTACGCGAGACATTCACAATTCTTACATTATACATATATATTTGTTTCTTATATTCGTCCAAGGGTCAAATATGTGTCATAAATATTGGATAGCAGTACACAAAATGAAAAAAAACTTTACAAAAACTACAATATGAAGCAGCAAGGGTTGTAACAGGTCTAACTAGATTTTTTTTAATTCAAAATCTTTTAAATAAAAGGATGGCTATTATAAACAACAGGAGAAAAGAAAAACGTAAAAACTTAATTTGTTATATCAAGGTAAACATAACCTTTTACCGATATACTTATCACAATTATTCTCACCAATGGTGGCAAATGTTTCCTCAGAATTATATTCGCTGCAAAGAAATGTAAATAATGCTTCAATAGAATAGCAAGAAGAACATAAATTTATGATAAGTCTGTCATTTCATCCTTTAAAAACCTTTGGAACGAATTACCAACTTATATAAGAGAATGTGAAACTTTTAAGCCCCTGTTGTCCCGCCAGTTTATATCGTAGGTGATCGTGTATCTGCTATAAAGCATTTTCGTATTAAGAATATTTGTAGCAATCTGAATTCTGATTTATTTACTAAACAACTCACTATTAATTCAGTATGCGAATGTGGTTCTTTTATTATAATAGAGGATGCCTAACATATCTAATTTCAATGTCAAAGAAAACTTTACAAAGAAGAAAGCTATTTACAAATAACAGAGAATGCCATCCGCTTAGTACTTAAACGTTACTCTTTGGCATCGAGAATTTACACGACTTTCAAATAAACTCTTATTTCAGCATGTTCAAAATTATATCTAAAAAACCAAGATGTTTTAATACATTGTAATTAATTCGTTTTTACTTTTATTCAATATAACAAGTATTTTGGTTAATTTTGCTCAGTACTAACAAATGGGTATTCGCTTCACAATTGGTATAGGGGATCGGTGGAATATTTTCGAGACCCAACTGTGTTTTAATACAGCAACTCTTCTTTTTTTCTTTTCTCCACAATCATATTGCTCATTTTTAAAAATGAAACTGCATAGCTACTTAATGCATATTTACTTTATATGTTAATTATCTTTACTTTATGAAACTGATGGGAAGAGCCCACAACAATTTTGCAAAATCTTTTGGCCAAACACTTTTGTTTATTGTGTAATTATGTTGAAACATAAGAATTGATGTATATGTATGTATACATGCAATAACATATTTAATTTATTAAACTAAACCAGAAGACAACGATTTTTAAGTTCTTTACTTAAATGTATTGCTTGTAACTGATTCTAAGTTTAGCAATTCTCTTATAAGTCTATTACTAAAAGTTTGCTGTGAACTACGATGGACAATCACGATTCTTATCTTTTAAGACTAAAGACTCGTTAAACTTATGCAGACATAGACTATTTCTGTATGAGACATAACCTAACCCTTAATAAAAAGTATTATTTCCCTTCACTTTTTGTTTAATATTAATTTCCCATAGGTCACTGGGAGAAATTTAAACTGTTAATTCAAGCGCACAACGTGACTATGAAATTTGTACTGTTACAGGGTATCAGTCTTTTTAACAGTATGAAATCTGGTCACATTGTCTATTTTCTAAATAAAATACAAAAAAATCATCATAAAAATCATCACAGTTATTGTTCGGGGTAAAAATTTAAACAAAACATGGGTTTTTGAGTAACAGTAAAAATATCATTCCACGTAAAATACTGTTTTCCACGGGTAACGTCTCGGACTTACAGTACTTTCCTCGTGATAATATTTTTACTGTTACCCACAAACCCATGTGTTATTTATATTCTTGTCCGACTTATGCGTTTGGAGCTGTTATTGAGGATATGAAGAAAACGTGGAAGTTGGCCAGCAAACAGTTTATATAACACTGTCGAATAGCAACTTACATATCTGTATGTGATAAGTCGTCTATGGTTCCAAAAAAAAAAGGAAAACATATGAACATTAAATGGTCAATTAATATGTGAAATAAATCTTTACTCTTAGTGGTTATCAAGCCTGTTACACGAACTGTAAAAAGACAATATTTGAAAGCCATCTACATCTAAATAGACAGTAAAATATTTTTTTCAATATAAATATGGAAATATAAAATAACTAGTGATCAAATTGTAATGTAATCACAAACAGAAAAATACGCTCATTTAAATCTATGAAATATAGTATTGCTGATTTGATTTAAGTTAATACCAAGTATATTGTTTTAAAAAACAAGATCTGACACAATTTGTGATTTCATTACTCACGAGGGATGCCTGTTTTCCAAAATTGTGATGTCACTATTATATTTATATAAATTGTTTGTGATATAAAACATAAAGGTTCAATCAACTGTTTATTAACGTATCCGTGTTATTACGGAAAATATAAGCATCTTACACATTCAATATAAGAGAAAAATTACATATCTCTTCTTATTTTCATTACAACATTCTTGAGAGAGTAAGTAAGCCCCCAGCACCCACCCCAGTTAATACCACGACCATATTCGGTATTAGCCCCGTTCAGATAAAGCCCATTTAGATTCACGTTATGACATGATTTGTACCACCAAGCTCCACCATAGTATTGTGCACAGTTCCCTGTATCCCAGTCGTCATTGTCACTGTCTTTGGTCGTAAATTGCCAATTATTATGATACCACATGGAATCACCACACGAACCGTGATATCCCCCAACCGTCAATCTGTATTTATCACTCTCGTCATTAACCATGAAGGTGGTGTATTCAGCAAAAGCAGAAAACGGATTCTTATTGTCATTTTTGAATGTTTCCATGTATACGTGAAGAGAACTGTTGCTTTTTGTCAAATGATGAATATTTTCAAGCCCGAGCCAATACTCGCCAACTCTGTTTTCAAATCCATTTTTATAATCTTCCCAATTTCTGTAGAAATCTTCAGATCCATCTTGCCGGCGTTGTATAACTGTCCATGCACCATTGGTCATATCACACCACACATCAGTAGCAGTAATTCCGGTTGGTTTAATCACATATATACCGTCCTCGCTATAGCCTTGTTGATAAAGCTCCATACAGTCAATTGGCTCTGGTTGCTTGTGTATTCTTTTTGTCTTTAAACTGCCTTCCTGTAAAGCATTTTAGTATATTATTTCTTAAACATTATGTAATTATTCTTCCTATAAATTATTACAGAGAAACCCCTTTTAATCAGATTGATTACATATTAGAGGTTAATTATTTGATGTGCAACATGCCTTACATACATACGCACGCACGCACGCACGTACGCACACGCGCACACACAAGAAATCAACAACAATGATTATTTAATTATCTCTTTTAGCTTAAATTGGTCAAGGAATCGCACTCAATATCGATTCAATATTCAATTAAGTGCTTACTACATTTATTAATTTTCTGTTTATTAATATTTAATACTGAAACCAATTTAGATTTTTGGTGCTAAGTAAAGCTTTTTTTAATATTTCGTTTAATAACTTTGGCTATTACGGGCATACATTGTTTATTATGAATAATACAAAACCACAATATAGTTGTCTGAAGTAGGTTTTCTTAAATTATTTTAAAACTTGTAAACATTCTATTTTAATTGCAAACTTTAAACAAGAGAAGTTTTATATTAATATTAAATATTTGGGCGTCGTCAGGGGTTAAAGGGTTTCAAAATTTGAAGGGTAAATTACTTCAATTGCCTATTTAGATAAGTAACTAACGATCACTTTAATTCTTAAATGCCATTTAGAATTAAACATATTGCTAACTAAACTTTCTTTAAAACGTTTTACACGATTGTATAATGAATTAAAACGACCGTTTTGAGTACGAATAAAATTATTAGTGTCAGTGTTACTGAAAATAAAAACTTCAAGTTAAAGCAGATTTATCTCGGCCAAGTATCTTCTTGTTTTGCATGACTCATTTGCGTTATACAAACATAGTGTAAAGATGCCTATATACAATATTATTGTTACAGTTTAGGCGAATCGTTGAAAAGCAGATTTTTTTACTGTACATACTTTTTTCTTTTTGGATGTGTGATAATTAAAGTATTGTATTAGTGTAGCTATATTACTTATTTCATTGACAAATATTAGGGGTTCATCATAAAATTATTCAACACGGTCAGAAATTCAGTATTGAACCTATACTCATTCAATATCATCTACATAATATACAATTGTCTAATCTTACATAGGATGACACAGAAAATGTGAATGCATTGAATCATATCATTTCTATTTTTTATTGTTTTATTACTGCAACAACTGAGTTATGTTAGTCTTATATTAAGGTAGTCTTACCGTAATGCTTTCCCGCCCCCCAAAAATCGACCAATATCGTAGTAAATCGGTTATTTCCGGAACGATTTTTCAACATCTTGGGCATTAGATTTTTTAAATTCCGGTTATAAACACTTAAAATTATTTAATACCAAGTATTAAAAAAATGAAATTCCTGATATGACGATTTGGCCGATGTTAGAATTTTTGGCAGAAAAACATAACAGTAAGAAAACTTTGAAATAGATTTCAGAAATAATTGTTTAGAATTGTAACAGAAAGTTTAATTAATGAATCTTATGATTCATAAAATTTGTAATCCATTACATCTATTGACAATTATTTACACCCTTCATAAGACATCTTTAAAATGAATTAAAAAACTGACATTTTCAAATTTTATTTTTACAATCAGTACATGTCCCCAGATGAGTTTGCAGATTAAAAAATAAAACAAAGACATATTAAGAGTTTAAGACATGTAAATATATAATTGATTCATATGGGGTTAAAAATATAGAATGCTTAAATTTGATATTTGTAATTACTGATAATTGCTACACGGTCCTTTTGTAAATATAGAATAAACATGTTTTGGCATTTAGATGAAGTAGATACCTGTAAATTGTTTTTCAAACTCTACACACTATAGGTCATCACAATATGAATAAGCATGTATAGTGTCATTAAAAAAGTGGCAGCTCTTTTTGAAGAAATGACTACTTTTACTTGACCTGTAATAAGGACCGCAGACTCTTAAACATAATTTGTATGTTCTTTTTTTTCAAATAAGACATATCCGGAAAGAATCTTATAGATTTCAATGAATTTGTGCAATAAAAGTATTTTCTTCAAGGATGAGCATAATATATATTTAAGCAAGTAATACGATGGACATAAAATAATTAACTTTATGTATTGCCGGATTTCTACAAGTTGTTTGCATAACGTAAAGATATTTATATATTTTGCCCTAATCTGAATAGGTTTTCACACAAATACACATTGCCATATGTTATGTCATGCATTTTATGCTTAATGAGGGTCATCCGCCTTTTCAGGGACGTACAGTTCGAACCCGGACATGTTGCCAAGTATATCTTTTAAGACCATTTCTTGTTTAAAGTGGTGTATAGATTTGATTTGATGCACTGAATAGTTCTACATAATGATGTGTTGTCCATGAGGCAAGTGTATACATTATATGATTAATGAATGTGTTGCTGTCTTAACAAAGGACAGACCCGGTTAGGTGTTTCGAATCGGTGCCTCAGACAGGCGTTTCGAGCAGACAATTTCACTCTGCCCAGTTTTCAAGCTCGACCAAGCGACTACAAACCGGTGCCAAGCCCAAGCCTTACACTGGCTCACTCAGTGCCCTTTATTTGTCCATTGCCTAAATATATATATAATAAATATTAATATATAGATTTAAACATAAATAAAAAAACAACAATGATGCTTACTTGAGTATACGTTGTTGACACCGTCTCTGTTCTTTTCCCATGAATAATATTATTGTCAGTCTGCCCCTCCTCACCAGTGTTATTGTCATGACCGAAACAACAGAAACATGTTGCATTATTTTCAAAATAATAAAACGATGGCGAATCTAATTTCTGACAATGAAAACTGCATGAAATCAATGACTTTGCTTGTATTAAAGAAAGTGAAGTGTCATTTTTGGGAAACTGAAAAACTTTCTCTATCTCGAAAAAAGATGTCACCAATTCATTTCCTAAACCTTGAGTTGTTCCAAAAAAGTGGATAATTACAAAAATTAGCAACATGGCATTAAAAGAAAATAATCCGTACACCAAAAACAAATAAATGCAATTATAAGTTTCGAAGTGGTACTTGTTGAAGCGATTGAAAATATATACGACTGCGCATGTATTCTGGTTGTTACCAGTCATTTATAGAAAATTAAGCAAACATTTAATACATTATTTATTGAATTATAATCACCTTGTTGCTATGGCTCCTATTTGAATAGAATTTTTACTTAGACGGATGGTATTACATAACCAAGCTATGGAAACAACACCGTGAATGATTATTAATTATTCTTTAGATAAGAATGTGAATTAATTCATGGTTTAAATGTTTTGGTATAATATGACAGTTAATATTAGGTTAGTTAATTTAAGTCATGAAATATTAATAAACATTCCCTCTAGGAAGGGAATTTCTAGTTGAAAATTACAGGTAAATTTAATATTCCAACCGCAGTTTAAGTTTAATAATGAAATATATTAGTATGCTTATACATTGTGATGTTATGTAAAAGTAGTATAACTTTACCATACATGCCATAATCTTCATAAAACTACAAAATCATTTGCACAAGAAAATGAATTTGGATATTGATCATACAACATTGTTACGGGCAAAATGATTCCATGCCTTGTGATTTAACAATTTTATTACGATTGAGTTAACAAGTGCATCTTAAATATCATATTCAGAATTTGTACATGTAAAATGTTAAATACCAGCTTGCAAAATCAATAATAGAATTATCTTATATGAATTTATGTACTAGAAGCAATGATATTTGTAAATACTGATATTTGCTACCGGTTTTTTTTGTAAATATAAAATAAACATGTTTAGGCATTAGATGAAGTAGATACCTGTTTATTGTTTTTGAAACTCTACACGCTATAGGTCATCACAATATGAATAAACATGTATAGTGTCATTAAAAAAGTGGCAGCTCTTTTTGAAGAAATGACTACTTTTACTTGACCTGTAATAAGGACCGCAGACTCTTAAACATAATTTGTATGTTCTTTTTTTTCAAATAAGACATATCCGGAAAGAATCTTATAGATTTCAATGAATTTGTGCAATAAAAGTATTTTCTTCAAGGATGAGCATAATATATATTTAAGCAAGTAATACGATGGACATAAAATAATTAACTTTATGTATTGCCGGATTTCTACAAGTTGTTTGCATAACGTAAAGATATTTATATATTTTGCCCTAATCTGAATAGGTTTTCACACAAATACACATTGCCATATGTTATGTCATGCATTTTATGCTTAATGAGGGTCATCCGCCTTTTCAGGGACGTACAGTTCGAACCCGGACATGTTGCCAAGTATATCTTTTAAGACCATTTCTTGTTTAAAGTGGTGTATAGATTTGATTTGATGCACTGAATAGTTCTACATAATGATGTGTTGTCCATGAGGCAAGTGTATACATTATATGATTTAATGAATGTGTTGCTGTCTTAACAAAGGACAGACCCGGTTAGGTGTTTCGAATCGTTGCCTCAGACAGGCGTTTTCGAGCAGACAATTTCACTCTGCCCAGTTTTCAAGCTCGACCAAGCGACTACAAACCGGTGCCAAGCCCAAGCCTTACACTGGCTCACTCAGTGCCCTTTATTTGTCCATTGCCTAAATATATATATAATAAATATTAATATATAGATTTAAACATAAATAAAAAAACAACAATGATGCTTACTTGAGTATACGTTGTTGACACCGTCTCTGTTCTTTTCCCATGAATAATATTATTGTCAGTCTGCCCCTCCTCACCAGTGTTATTGTCATGACCGAAACAAACAGAAACATGTTGCATTATTTTCAAAATAATAAAAACGATGGCGAATCTAATTTCTGACAATGAAAACTGCACATGAAATCAATGACTTTGCTTGAATTAAAGAAAGTGAAGGGTCATTTTTGGGAAACTGAAAAACTTTCTCTATCTCGAAAAAAGATGTCACCAATTCATTTCCTAAACCTTGAGCTGTTCCAAAAGAGTGGATTATTACAAAAATTAGCAACGTGGCATTTAAAGAAGATAATCCGTACACCAAAAAGAAATAAATGCAATTATATTTTAAGTTTCGAAGTAGTCCTTGTTAAAGCGATTGAAAATATATACGACTGCGCAAGTACTCTGGTTGTTACCAGTCATTTATAGAGAAATAAGCAAACATTTAATACATTATTTGATGAATTATAATCACCTTGTTGCTATGGTTTCTATTTGAATAGAATATTTACTTAAGGAAATGGTATTACATAACCAAGCTAAAGCAACAACTGTGAATGATTCAAAATTATTCTTTAGATAAGAATGTGAATTAATTCATGCATTAAATGTTTTGTTGTTATATGACAGTTACTGTTAGGTAAGTTAATGTTAGGTTATGAAATATTTATAAACATTCCGTCTGGGAACGGAATTTCTAGTTGAAAATTACAGTTAAATTTAATATTCAAACCGCAGTTTTAGTTTAATAATGAAATATATTAGTATGCTTATACATTGTGATGTTATGTAAAAGTAGTATAACTTTACCATACATGCCATAATCTTCATAAAACTACAAAAACATTTGCACAAGAAAATGAATTTGGATATTGATCATACAACATTGTTACGGGCAATGTGAGTCCCTGCCTTGTGATTTAACGACTTTATTAGTTGAGTTAACAAGTGCGTCTTTAATACCATATACAGAATTTGTGCATGCAAAATGTTAAATACCAGCTTGCAAAATCAATAATAAAATTTTCTTATATGAATTCATGTACTAGAAATAAAGTATCATGCGTATGTATTAGGTAATCAAGCAAAATTGAAGTCACTAGCAAAATAACATTAGAACATTGAAACAAACACTTCGTAATATGTTGCTTTGAACAAGAGCAATCACTGGTCGCATGTGTCGCCAGATGAAAGCCAATCAAGCAGTTGTATTGAGGGGTGATTGGAATTTCTTTTCCTATATATATCGCAGCTACTTTGTTCCTTGCTGCAGCTACTCTGTAGTAGGAGAAACAATAACCATTACGTCTATAATTAATCTAAGTTCAAAGCAAAACTTCACTTTAAAAGCAACCACCGTACCTGTTATGTCAATGGAAATTATACTGAAATCACTTGACAGAAAGCGACGAATTCATTCAGAAATAACTGGAATTATTACGATTCAGTTCGATTGAGTAGTTCAATCATTTACAATAAATAATACATGTCTTCAAAGTTACTCTTCTCCACTGTTCATAATCTAAGATTTGATTACAATTACAGTGAATGACCACACAACAAGATCAAAACTGGCAAAATGAGAATAGTTGCACAAATAACCGAAGAAAATGATTTAGTTCAATGGAGGGGATACATGTACATCAGTGATGATCGGTTTATATCGTCACCTTAGTGCAGTAAAGGATTAACTCCTAATATGATTTAACAGGAGTTTACCCGTTACTGACCTAAAGGGACGATATATCTGCAATATTCGGGCTCAGAAAAAAACTTTTTTCAAGAAACATAAGTCGCAGGATTACATAACCATGTCAACACTGACGAGGTAAAGTAACGAGCAATCTTTTAGATATAAAAATGCAGTTAACAAACTTATCCATTAATGTATCATCTAGCAAACTGGATGTTGTTTTGAAATGAAAATTCGATTTCATGCTTTCTATATATAATCTTCTGCAATGCAGGCACATTGAACATGTTAGTTCAATAATTTCCTCATTAATTGGAAATAATTGGGGAGTATAATGGAAAGAGTATAATTTCAAATGTCCTTTTCTATTTTATCCGCAAGTTATCATCTAGTTATGCACCTCAGTGTATGTAAAATGCGGAAAAAAGTTAATCTGGGAAAGAACATATATATAGATTTTATTATGTTAACATAGTTTTCCGCTTACTTACTTTTTTATTTGTTCTTTAACATTCATTCACATAAGTGCTAATATTTATTTACAAGTGTGATATAAAAGCCCAAAAAATCATAAATAAACACATACTTGTATAGAAACAAAAACTTTTATTTCAATCAGAAACAACTAAAGTTAAATTGAATAATAATTTTTATCAATCTTTATAAAAAACCAACAAAAGAATACATCTGCCCCCCCCCCCCGCAAAAAAAAGTAATTGGTCAAATCAACATAATAGTATATTTCAAACCTTTATCCATGATAAACGGCAAAAACTGACAGTCACTCCACACATAAAAATGTCCGTCATATAACAAGAACTAGACAGATGAAATTGGTTAACCACCTCAACTATCCTGTAAGAGGTAAACCAAAACTAATTTACGCTTTTGGTTAACAAAAGGCACATCTTCCAAATGTATTTCAAATCTAAATAAAACAAGGAAAAGGTATCATTTGGATATTCTTGTAAAATATTTCTGAAAATAAACTTCTTTTATTCTAACAGTATGTACACCATCAAATATTTAGATTCAAATGGTAAGTTTTATCTGATACGTTTTTGCTCTTAACAATTTATCTACTTATCTAGGTAACTGTTATGAAAAGATAATCATGACAGAAAATGACTTTTTATGAATAAAAGGTAAAATCATTTTTAGTTATAGAATTGGGTTTATATCAACAATTTTGCAAAAAGTTAATGTTTTCTGGCGTATTTTCATAACGTTTCGTTTCAGCGAATAATTGAATCCCCAACATGTGGCCCCAAGGACACCATTACCGTATTCTGTGGTAGAACCTCCCAAATACGAGGGTTGTCCAAAAAATTCGTGCACTGCAGTTATTATCGTAAGAGTTAGTAATAAAAAGTTTATGAATTATATATCACTTGAAACGGAAATCTGTCTCAAATAAAAAAACCAAAGAAAAATATGTGTAACCGGCATGTCGTGAAAAAGAATAATCTTACAGTTACATTAGTAACGTAATACCGGCGCACGACAAAAAATTGGGTTAGTTCATTACTTTGATTGTATTAATTTTTGTTGCTTGTAAAGTGGCATTTGCTTTTTATGTCATAACTTGTTTTACTGCCAGTAAAGGAATGATTAATGCAAAGTATTTTGTAGTTTTTATTGTTGTTATGCAACCTACATGTAACATATTCCACCAGTGTACGAATATATTGGACAACCCTCGTCACATGCGCCGGCATTACGGACGGACGTCTGCCTGATCGGTTGTCATCGTCTACCGACTCTCTCCCTTCTACAGTGCGTTTGTGCCATTTATAAACCAGCCATCATGGCAATGAACTGGTCCCGCTTGCAATTTACAGTTCTTTGTAGGTATCTGTCGGTGTTTTACCGATACTTGCGCAAAATTTAATGATGGTCCGTATTTCCAGACGTTTAGCGATTGACATTTTCATGTAATGACAGTATTGACAACCATATGGAAATATTTGTTTACGACCGTTTCAATAAGGTTAATAACATCATATTTTCAAGTGACGTCAGAGATACATACACACACTTTTCCCTGAATTTTGACGTTTATATGTAGTATTTAAAGGATTCTGTGATGCATCAAATTAATGAACTAACCAAATATTTTTTTCGTGCGCCGGTAAACCATTACTAAGGTAACTGTATGACGATTCTTTTTTACGACACACCGGTAACAAGACTTTTTCTTTTGTTTTCTTATTTGCGACATATTTTCCCTTCGAGTGATATATAATTCATGCCTTTTTATCAATAACTCTCACGACAATAACTGTAGTGCACGAATTTTTTGGACAACCCTCGTACAAGCCATTTAAATTGCTTGCCAACAAGCACCGTTGTGATCAGCAGCACATTTTTCGCTACCTTCTCCGTCATTGTCATTGTCGAACGTAGAGAATCTCCAACTGTAATGAAAGGCCAAAGAATCCGCATAGTCACCATTATATCCTGAAACTGAAAACCTGAATTTGTCAGTCTCGTCATTGATCTTTAATGTGGAATATTCGGCAAAAGCTGATGCGGGTGAAACATTATCTTTTTCAAACGTTTCCATTTCTATATAAAGTTCACTTCCAATTGTTGTTAGTATATTAATGTATTTAAAACCAAGCCAGTACTTGCCTGTTGTGTTCCCAAATCCATCCACGTATTCATCCTAACCTGTATAGAAGTCCACAGATCCATCTTGGCGTCGCTTCATAACAGTCTATCCACCATTAGACATATCACACCACACGTCAATATTAACACCTTCCTTCATTTGAATAACATACACACCGTCTTCAGCGTTGCCCAGCTCATAAAGGGATAAGAAGTCAAAGACACCTGGTTGGCGATGTACTATCTTGTACAACCCATTGGGTGTCTGTAAATGAAAACATGACCTGTTTATGATCGAAATGTCTTAAAACCTTTTAATTACTTATAATTTTCCTTTATATTTGTTTAAAATTATATTTCTCTGAAACAAATCAAATAAAAGCTCCATAGAACTATCGTTTAAAGATATTAAGGCATTGCTTAACTACTCAGTCTTATCTAGAAGGTTAACCATAAATATGTAAATGCGATGTACGAAATGATTAGAAATTAACAAAAATGAAAAAGACATGTTTTAATATTTCATAACGCTCACCTGTATATATGAGGTCAAAACGCTAGTTTTCGTTAGGCGTAAATAATTACTGTGGTTTCCCCAGAATTTGCATTTTCTACAGTGCTTGCATGTTCCTCCAATACATAGAGAAAAAAACAGAATCCCTAAAGAAGGCCCAACACGGCAACATTGAAAATGTTGCAGGCTCGGTTTGATTGAGCCTGTTCATGGACGGTACTGGAAAGTGCAAGTTACCGTCCACGCCCCCTAGCACCGGCTTAAGCAGAATTCAACATTTAACACGAACTGGTACAATTTGGAATTTTGAAACATCCGCAGATGTGTTCATATGACGGTTATCATGGAACCTTCAATGTGACACGTAAGTGCCATTCCATGAAAAGCGGCATATGGTCCCCAAGTAAAAAAATGCGTGTGCCCTAAACGAGAAAACAATGGGCGGAACTAAATAAAATGGAATTTTGAAAGGGGATCTGAGGTTATGAAGCCTGCATATCACAGATAAGACGTCAAAAGACAATTTAAAAAGCAGGCAACATATCCTAAGGGTGATTAGACAGTATTCAAGTAGGAATACAATACTGGAACCACCCAAGTTGAAAAAAAGCCAAATAGAAGAAACTAAAAATACCACATAACATGTATACACAACAATTATGTCGTGCTGAACGATCTTCAAGTTGCAAAGACAACTTTCATTGTTCTAAATGTAGAAGAATGCAACGCATTTCTGTTTCGTACAATGAAACTTACATTTTGAAAATGACATCTTTTGATGCGTGGTGACAAGATTACTGCTTTGTGTTTTTAGTCACATATGCCAATAGAAAACTGTTTCACTGGAATTTGTCCAATCTTTACTTAAAATGGATTCAATCATTGCAAAATGAATGACTATACTCACAATCCAAAATGCCATAATGTTATCTTTCCAAGTCTCAGAAAAATTCATTAAATTTTCTCTACTTAAAAAATAACCTGTCTCACATCCAAACATCTGAAGTTCTGAGAAAGTAAAAGAAAACACTGTTAATTGAATTTCAGATTAACTAAGTAATCAAAAAGGCGTAAGCATGTACAATTATGAAACGCTGTGCCTTTTACGATCAAATAAACACCTTTAAAAAAATGCCCGACTTACGTCATCAATTCACAATTAAATTAATTTGTGACTTTCCTTTGTCAATGGACATTCCAGTTTTTTTATTTTTAACAATTAAAGGGATACTCGGGCAAATTAGTGACAAAAATATTAAAATGATCGTTTGTACTCAAATCAAGCTTAAATGACATTTTGTTAAGGTTTCAGCATGTATTTCTGTATAAGTTCTATATATTGTGGGTTTGAAACATAAATATATCTACATAATATTATGCTTAATGAGATTTAGACGCCAACAGAATCACCGAGTAGTTTTATAACAAGTCATGTGATATGAATTAGTTATTGAAGCTCGTACTATAATAGATATTGTGGATATTGCATGATTGAAACAGTTATTAAGTCCACAAGCAATGCATTGGACACATTTTTCAACGTTTCCATAGTTCACTGTGATAACTTTTGTTAACTCTTATCGCTCTGATCTGATCCATGTGGGTCAAGTTAGGAAACCACTATTTAATTTTTAATAAGGAGAAAAAGTTTTGTTCCTGTGACTGCCTAGTGTATTCATTTTGAGGACATTTACAGAATAATGAATGGGAAATTTCAGACAAAGAAATTTAAATATTTGCCTGTGTCTCCCTTTAAGTGAAGTTTTACTTATATCTTTATTGATCAGCAATCGATTGTTCCGTTTGTAAATATATAAAATCATAAAAAATATATGTTTGATGTTTTCCTCTTATTATGCGTATTTATTTGAAATTATGGTTCATGTGTTGGTTGTTAGAATACTCTTGTATCATAGTTTGGTGACCTTTCTGTTGAAAATGTGTCAGGGTTAAATCGTATACATATACATGCACAGTGCGTTAACTGGAGTGCGGGTATTAGTTACCCGCACTCCAGAGCATGTCCCTTGATTGGCTCATTTTTGCAGGGGTTTACATATTGTGACGGCAGAGAATGGGAAAGCGACAGAAATATCATATTCAGATGTTCGTTCATTGGTTCATTTTTGCCGGGGTTTCATATTGTGACAACAGGGAACGTGTTTTTATGTTTGACTATGATACAAAAGAGAAAGAACACCAAAACATTCGGCAATCTGATTAATACTCGAGGGCTACGCCCCCTCGTACAAATCAGATAGCCTCGTGTTTCGGTGCTCTTTTTATTACTTATGTCAAAAAAATAATTAGAAATATTATAACGTCTTTCCTGTTTTTCTGTTAACAGAAGGAAGACAATACATATCAACTTTGGATGTTTATACATTTGACTGATTATAACATAATGATAAAGACTCATTATTATAACATGCTATAATCATTCATAACTTATATTTTCCAAAAACACTTCTTATTTTGATAAACAATTATATCTTCTACTCTCCTTAAAGAGAGAACAACAGACAGTTATCTATAACCCAATTACGTCTTTACAACAACAACAACAACAACAAAAAAGAGAGAAAGTATAAAATGATACAGGTATTATCTTACATTCACCTTTCAATTTTCCAAAAACTAAAGAATTAGCATCAAAACAATTCACTTGTAAATACATAACCCGCATATACCTTTACAAGGAAAGAAAAAAATAATGATACATACAAAAACCATCAAAAACGGCAAAATAAAAATGTAAAGCGGCGTATTTTTCCAAATAGAAAATGTATTCCATATTGTCAGCATGTGTACATACATGCAACTATTTGTTCACATATTTCTCATTATTTTATCATAACATGGGGATGAATTAATCACAATTGTTTTTAATTATTCCAAAAATATATGAGTTTACAAAGTATGTACGCAATATAAGACTTAGTTCCAATCTTATGTTCTGACACATTTGCTTTAGAAATGTTATCTACTTATCTTGCCAACTGTTAATAAGAAAGTTGTCATCAGAAATAATGTCTTAAAAATAGAAAGGTAGTTATGCAATAATCCTTAGGCTAACATTTTTGTTTAAACCTTACGTTTTCCGGTTTTCCGGCGTATCTTCATAACGCTACGTTTAAGCGAATATTTTTGCCCCCAACACGCTGCCCAGGTGATACCTTTACCATATTCTGTGTTAGAACCGCCCAAATATAACCCATTTAAATTACAAGCATGACAGGCTCTGTACCACCAGGCTCCATTGTAATCAACGGCACAATTTCCGCTACCTGTTTCGTCATTATCATTGTCGAATGTGGAAAATTTCCAGCCGTTATGATTGCTAAAGGAATCCGCACAGTTTCCATTATATCCCGATACTGACAACCTGTATTCGTCACTTTCGCCATTGACTTTAAAGGTGGAATATTCGGCAAAAGCTGATGCGGGTGAAACATTATCATGTTCAAACGTTTCCATTTCTATATAAAGTTCACTACTAATTGTTGTTAATATATCAATGTCTTTAAGACCAACCCAGTACTCGCCTGTTGTGTTCCCAAATCCGTCCAGCCCAACCTCTATAGAAGTCCACAGTTCCATCTTGGCGTCGCTGTATAACTGTCCATCCACCATTGGACATATCACACCACACGTCAATACTCACACCTACAGACGGTTGAATAACATACACACCGTCTTCGGCATAGCCCATCTCATAAAGTGATAAACAGTCTAAAACGCTTGGTTGGCGATGTATTTTCTTGTACAATCCATCGGTTGTCTACGAAAGAGAAAAAATCACAAGATTATAATCAAAATGTTTTGGAACCTTTTTACGTTCCTTAAAATTTACTATTACCTTTGTTCAATATTTCCTTTTATAATTTGATATGGACTGTTCTTTTAAGACTTTAAAGAAAAATAAAGGCATTGGTAAACTTTTCAGCCTTATATTAAAGACGAAACCTTAAAATATAAATGTAATGTTTCAAAGGAATATTTTAATACGTACCTGTAAATATGACATCAAAACTCTGGTTTTCTTAAGTCCATATACTATGCCTGTGTTTTGATCAGAGTTTGCAATATCTTCCGTACTTGCAGATTCTTCTTCGTCACAAAGGCACGTTTCATTGTGTGTAATATAGAAAAATGCAACGCATTTCTGTTCTTTACAATGAAATTTACAAGTTGAAAAGGATACCCTTTGAGCTAAAGTGACAAGTTTATTCCTTTGTGTTATTTCCGTTACATATGACAAATTATATATATAATAGTTTCACCATATTTTGTCCAGTCTTTACTAAAACTGAGTCCAATCAGAGTATTAAGAACGATGTTACTCACAATCCAAAATGCCATTATGAAATTTCTTCCAGTGTCAGAACCAATTTAATATTGATGTTAAAAGTTTTAATTTTTAGTATGCTTAAAGAACAACTTGTCTTAAAACATAGAGATGTCTGTAGTGTTATAAGCCAAACTGATCATTAGAATTCAGATGAGTTAGTTTAATAAACAAGAGGGCCATGATGGCCCTGAGGTCGCTCACCTGTATATAGCCCCCCCCCCACCTCCGGGCCAATTTTTACCCAAGGGCTTTTATTTGTTTATTTGAACAGACTTGGTAGACACCCATAAGAAGATGTTTCATGCTAAACATCTAAGTTCTAGCTCATTGGCTTTTTTAAAAGAAGATTTTTAAAGTTTTTACTATACACATATAGTTAAAAACAATGACACCTCTGGGGCAGGGCCAGTTTTGACCCCCGGGCGTTTATTTTAACAAACTTTGTAGATATTTACTTAAAGATGTTTCATGCTTAATATCTAAACTCTAGCTATTTGGGTTTTTCCAAAGAAGATTTTTAAGTTTTTGCTATACACATATAAGGAAAATCAATGACCCCCCCCCGGGCGGGGCCAGTTTTGACCCCAGGGCTTTTATTTGAACAGACTTGGTAGACACCCATTAGAACATGTTTCATGCTAAATATCTTAGCTCTAGCTCTTTGAGTTCTTTAAAAGAAGATTTTTTAAGTTTTTACTATATGCATATAGGGAAAATCAATGACCCCCTGGGGCGGGGCCAATTTTGACCCCAGGGCTTTTATTTGAACAAACTTGGTAGACATTCACTAGAAGATGTTTCATGCCAAATATCTAAGCTCTAGCTCTTATGGTTCTTTAAAAGAAGATTTTTTAAGTTTTTACTATATGCATATAGGGAAAATCAATGACCCCCGGGGCGGGGCCAATTTTGACCCCAGGGCTTTAATTTGAACAAATTAGGTAGACATTCACTAGAAGATGTTTCATGCTTAATATCTTAGCTATAGCTCTTTGGGTTCTTTAAAAGAAGTTTTTTTAAGTTTTTACTATATGCATATAGGGAAAATCAATGACCCCCTGGGGCGGGGCCAATTTTGACCCCAGGGCTTTTTTTTTTTAACAAACTTGGTAGACATTCACTAGAAGATGTTTCATGCCAAATATCTAAGCTCTAGCTCTTACGGTTCTTTAAAAGAAGATTTTTTAAGTTTTTACTATATGCATATAGGGAAAATCAATGACCCCCAGGGGCGGGGCCAATTTTGACCCCAGGGCTTTTATTTGAACAAACTTGGTAGACACCCATTAGAACATGTTTCATGCTAAATATCTTAGCTCTAGCTCTTTGGGTTCTTTAAAAGAAGATTTTTAAGTTTTTACTATATGCATATAGGGAAAATCAATGACCCCCCGGGCGGGGCCAATTTTGACCCCAGGGCTTTTATTTGAACAAACTTGGTAGACACTCACTAGAAGATGTTTCATGCCAAATATCTAAGCTCTAGCTCTTATGGTTTTTTAAAAGAAGATATTTAAAGTTTTTTTCTTTTGGTTGCCATGGCAACCAGAGTTCTGCATGGAATTAAATTCTTTGAACAATTTTTAAAGGTGACCGCCAAAGGAACATTCTTGTGAAGTTTGGATGAAATTGGCTCAGTGGTTTATGAGGAGATGTCATTTAAAGCAAAAGTTTACGGACGGACGGACGGACGACGGACGGACGCCGGACGAAAAGCGATCACAAAAGCTCACCCTGTCACTTTGTGACAGGTGAGCTAAAAATGCGTGAGCGTAAACAATGACGTAACGCTTTTCCAGTTGCGTTACATTAGAATCATGTGTGAGTTCGCCCGATTTTTGTAATTAACATAATTGAAACTAATTTGTTTTCATTATTTTTTCATTGTCTCTTGACTTGGGAGTATTTGAATGATACTGTGATTGATTGATAGTTTATCTTTCTTGCTAACAATCAGGCATGAATATAATGCACTCATAAATAATATCGTCGGAAATTTTATATTATTGTGATTTATGCAATCAATCAATATGACAGCAACATCATTTTAGTCCTTCAAAAAGCCAGTATTAATTATACGAGTTTACAATATTTATTCTTGACAAGAGTTGAACAATATCATCACAGATCATTGCATAAATACAGACTGAGCACTATTCATTATAACGTATTTCGGAACAATTAATGCATGTTGAATCAGTTTATTTGATGAATTTGATAAACCAAAACTATTATTTTTTCTTTTTTTAAAAAAACTGTTAATTTCATAACGTGCAATAAGCAAAAATATTTAAGGTATTCAAGTATGAATGATCAGTTGCCGATGGATAAATCCGCCTTATGATCATTCATAGGACAAATAATTTTATGATCATTCATGGGATAAAGCTTCAATGTAATCATCCACAGGAAAAATGCCCCTAATGATCACTCATAGGATAAATTCCTATGGATGATAATTTATAGAATAAACCCTCCTTATGGTTATCGTAGAATGAACCCTCCTTATCCATATCCATGGGATAAACCATCTTTGAGATTATTCATAGGATAAAGATAAATCTTCCTTATGATCATCAAAAGGATAAACTCTTATTATTATCATCTATAGGATGAATCCCCCTTCTGATTAATCATCATTATAATCATACGTAGGATAAATCCTTATTATGATCATATGATCTTTCATCGTATAAACCCTTTTTATGTTCATCCATGTCCTGTCCGAACCTGAACTGTTACAAAGTCAAACACATCATCAAATTTATTTTGGAGTAATCACATAATTGGAGTAAAGATAGGTCTACGTGTATAATATACTATGTAAATGCTGTTTAAAACAATTAAATAAAGAGATTATTCTGTTGTAATACAGTTTAAACATAATAATTAGTAACATGTACCGCTGTATGCTGTATAAAATTCTGGAAACAAAGTGATCCCTCGGAAGCATTAATCACAACAAAATAACATTTGCAGTCTCGGTTTGATTGAGTCTGTACATGAGGGATAATGAATTAGTGCAACATCCCTCACGCCCCCTAGCACCGGCTTGAGCGATACTCAATTATTAACACTCTATAGTGTTGGTATCAATGATCCCGAAGTATAAGTTTGTATTTCTATGGTATGGAACTTTATTATTTTCCTTCAAAAGTGTAGTTTATTTAAAACAAGTTATAATGATTGATTTTAAAAAAGAAACCATCTAGTTTAATTCTGAAATGTACTTCCAACAGAACTTATACTCGACGTAATGAAAACCAAGTGACAATGTGAAATCCAATAGCTTCATATATTGTTGACTTCTGCAAGAAAAAGATTTACTAACCTGATTGACAAAGGAACACTGTAAAGACATTTTGCAATTTTAGCTGGTAGAAATGTTAAACTTACCTTTATGTATAGCAGAAAACTGACTTACTCTTTATATTTCCTGTGTAGCAGACGTCCAATGACAGACAGCCTTGAAATCTGTCACTTATTATTTTATATTGAAGATTTCTTATTGTTAATATCAATTTAAGACAAATTCACTTCAAGAACATTATTGATGTAAAGTTTATGTTTGTTTAAGGTCAAAAATCTTTAAGTATTCACTACATGTTCCTGTTTATTAACGATTTTCATATGCAGATTTTATATCAGAATTCAATATGGCTCTCATGGAAACTTTAGATTTCATATTCTGAAATCCGGCCGTCCGTCCATTGGAGGATTTCCGGATTTCTGGACTTTCACTGGTGGATTTCAAACATCGAACCTCATAAAAGTCTGAATAAAAGTTGTCACTTCGGTCTTGACTAAATAAAATTCTGGAAACAAGTGATCCCTCGGAAGCATTAATCACAACAAAATTACAAGAGAATTGCAGACTCTGTTAAGTTTTAAAACTGTCTAAGTTCAATTTAAATAAATATCTTAAAACGTATCGGTATCCACTCTAGTAAGTTAGTATGTATTTAAATCCAAATTTTATTAACTCACTGGACACTGTCGTTGCCGAAAAACTTTTGGTGTGTTGGACTTTCTTTAGGGATTCTTTTTTTCTCTATTTTGTTAAAAACTTAGAAACTGTATAAGAATTGTATTTAATTTTCCCTTCCTGGCATACGTTTACAGTTGCAGGCTCGGTTTTATTGAGCAAATTCATGAAAGGTGCTACTTCAAATTGCAAATTACCGTTCATGTCCCCTAGCACCGGCTTAAGCAAAATTCAACATTTTAACATGAACATGGTGAAATTTTGATTTTAGAAACATCCGCAGAAACTTAAGTTTGCTTTATAAGAACTTTTTGAAACACATGTTTACACTTTGTAACAAATAAAAATTATTTTCAATCATGGGATGTAATATGCAGTCAGAACAATGTTTTGTAAGAATAAAAGTTTTAAAACATAGCTTTTTCTCTAATTACAAATTTTATATCGAAATATGCAATTTATGATATTCATTGGATATATGTTATGCTGATACTGTTAGGTAAGGACAGGATGTAGCGGATCTAAGTACTTTTGCTCATTACGAATACAATGTTTGCCTCATTTCCCTACTCTGTGTTGTATATGTTGGCTCGTTTTAAACATATTTGATTCCGAATGTTGGTGTCAAACAGCTGACACAGTGTAGATCTATGTTCATTTTAAATACAAATAGGAGTACAACTCAGTAAAACATATTTTTGCCAAGCGAATAATGAGCAAGAAGCAAAGGATCTGTGTGATTAGGCAATCTGCTGTTATGAAAATTCGCTGCCAAACTTTTTTACAAGTTAGTTTTATTATGCGCTTTAAAACGATGCTTCTATTGATGCAAGAAACACGGCAACCATTGTAAATCCGGCTCTTACCTCTGATCTTAGTGTCCTTACTGTTTTGAACTTTATTCAATTTACATAATTATATTCTAGCTCTATATAAGTAACATCAACACAACAACAAAATGGCAATATTTGCCTTCCGAGTACTACTATCATGTGTGTTGAAAAGTAAAGCTATTAAATTATTTATTCATCACTAAGCTAAAACCCTTATATGTAAAAATAAATATTTTGTGAAAATCAAATTCACGTTTAGAGAACACGATTTCCATTTCTTTGAGACGATACGCCGCTTTTCTAGGAATGGCATGCAAGAGTCGCATTTAAGGTTATATGAATCTGCGGATGTATCTTAATTCAAAATTTTAGCATTTTCATGTTTTAATCTAGAATTGTGCTAAAACCGATGCCAGGGGCGTGGACAGAAGTTTGCACTTGACTGTACCGTTCACGAACAAGCTCAATCAAAATTCCGGAAACAAAGTGATCCCTCGGAAGCATTAATCACAACAAAATAACATAAGAATTGCAGACTCGGTTTGATTGAGTCTGTACATGAGTGATAATGAGAAAGTGCAACATCACTCACGCCCCCTAGCACCGGCTTGAGCGGTACTCAATTCTCAACACTTTATAGTGTTGGCATCAATGATCCCGAAGGACCAGAAAATATAACAACACTGAAGTGAAGTACGGGGCAACTTTTTACGGCTGCCACACGGCACTTGACACCTGCTGTTGTGAAGTACAAAATTCCGGAAACAAAGTGATCCCTCGGAAGCATTAATCACAACAAAATAACATAAATAACACAAACCGAGCCTCCACCATTTTCAAGTTTGTTCATTTGGACTTTCTATAGGGATTTGAACGATCGAAAACGTCAAAACAAAAAAAAGGGGAAAAAACAACAGATAATTAATAAGAATAAGGATTTAAATATAATACCATATTGTGACGTATCTGGGGATATGATGTATCTTGGGTGTGATGTGTCTGTAATGTGTCCGGAATTATTTAATTCAGTTGAAGATTTCACCTATGTGAATTGATGATTTTTTTTTCAAAAACGTTTTTATGCCACATTCCAATCACCTACTTTTACCGATTATCCTCTGATATGCGTTAGAATTTGTAACGGTAAGTCTGCCAAGATGAACAATAAAAAGGATCTTGTTGATTAGAGCCAATCGAAATCACGCTGCCATTTTCCCTTTCTTTTAAGTTATACTTACCATCGGATTTACACCATGACAATATGTAAGGTTAGCGTCTACCTATTTATTTTATTATGTATTTGCATAATATTTTCGGTGCTTTTCGCTTACCGTTCTTTTAGCGCTTTGCTTGAATTCGCAAGTTAATTACTTGTTACAATGTTCTGTATCTAATAATCTATATTACCGTAACGGTAATGAATTTAAAGTAAGTCATTAATATTTGAGAATGGTCTTTTGTTGGAATTAACAGGTGTAGAAAAATATTATATCGATTTTAAAGGTAGACTTTCTCATTTATGTCACAAAATACTTTGGCCATTTTAGAAGTGTCAATCGAATAATTAACAAAAATCATGATCATTTTATTGATAAGTACTGTTTTAAATTTTAACAAAGTTAACGAATATTAGGAAGTGGTGGTGATGGCTGGTAGTTTTCACTCCGGATTATGGCAGTTAGCCACATTAAATTTACAAGAGCTCCGTTCAGCAACCACATCTTAACTGGGCAGGCTGTCAAGCAATTTCCCTGTATTACTTGCCTCCATTGTCGCAGGGAACAGATAATTTATGTACATGCTAGAGCAGAGGTACAGTGCGAGTGACCATAGAAATGATTTAATGATCAATCATCAAGAAAGTTGCACGAAAACGAACCTGGGTTGCACGATAAACAGTTCAACACTTTTCCTATTGGGCTAACCGGCAGTTTCTACGGAAGTTGGCACTGACTCATGCTTTATTGAATTTTATTGGTAAACATGATCTCTTTATCTGCTATATTCAATGTAATTTAGAAGCACAATCCTGGAGGAATACATAGTATAACCGTAATTCAAATTTGCCTTGTTGGTGTTGTTTTTGGTTATGTTTTAACTTTAGATGAAAGAGACTGCTAGGACTGAAATATTCTTCTTTCTTCCGAGAACTTAATTACCATTTAATTAAGTTTTGGTCCAAATTTTTAGACAATTTTCAAGGATACATGCGTATTTATTGAACAGCGCTTTTTACTTAAAGTGAGACGTTTCTTGATATAAATGGCTACTTGTATCGTAATTTTATTAATTGTTGTACATATTTTAATTAATAATACCACATTTATTGTCATCTTGGTCAGAAATTTGGTTTCCATTAGAAGCCAGAAAAGATATTGACATTGTAACAAGTGCTATGACAAATGCACTGAACTTAGACATACCAACTCCTAGTATGTATAACCGGGGAGATTTGGGTCGTTTGCCACTGATTTGCAATAGAAAATTGCGCCTTTAATGTATCAAGTACTGACACAGGATTTTCAATATGAAAACAGATAACCTAAGTAATACTACGAAGTAAAATATTGTTATGAAGTTAATATCGTTTTGCAGAGCAAAACATTGAATGCTTTGCGTTTTATATTCGACATGTACCTTTTTACAAATGTACATGTATTTCATCATGAATGATTTAACCAGGACTTCTTCCTGTGCTGTGAATTATCACATATATTGCGTGATGTTTTTGTACATGGCGAATGCCTCTTGCTTTATCTGTTGTATTAGAAAAGTATAAAACTGACTTCATTACAAAATTATACATAGAGCAAATTTAGAAGTCAAAATTTTATATTTCTGGTCACTTAAAGGCAAGTTACTTCCAGAACTGTAATCTTCAATAAATTATCATTTGTTAAAAAAATATGTACACGCTGCTGTACTGACTTACATGATGAATATCACCTTCTGTCAATTTAGTACTTTAAGTTTAATTGTTCCTCGTAAGATTCCAGTTCCTTTTTCTATAATATCATACTTAACTATAAACTACAAAACTAGGGACGTTGTAAGCTAGCTTACATTACATTCATTTACATTCCTAATATAAATGCTATCATCTAATCAATATAAAAGTCGGTTTTATCAATAATAAAACCACAGAACATATCCATAAACAGAAACAGTACACAATGAAACGTTCTATATATTTATATACATATGTGTATTTATTATAATATTTTATGCATTCGAATAACAAAGTTATATCATGTATCAAGGTTATCCACTTAAATCAAAGGCTATCTTAATATAAAAAAGGCATTAACATATTATATCAGAGAGCGTCTTGACGCTTGAGTATTCATTCCATTTTTCAATAATTAAGAATTAGTTAAAAAGTCGTAATTTTATGACTTAAAAGGATATTTGTTTGTTCATGGGTTTACATGGCAGTTTTAATACAATTGATATTTAAATAGAGACATTTAAGAAAACGTGATCGATTAAAATAAACAGAAAAAGCAACAACAACAAAAACGTTGAATGGTGTTAATGTATACAAATAGAATGTGCCCTCATTTTTTTGTAAAAACGCTTAATTCTAAAAATTTGTTTTTTTTAAAATTGAATTTTTTAAATGAAAAAACTTTTTTTTTAAAACGAATATTCTTTTTCCCCCCATCTATACCAAGTGATACCTTTGCCAAACTCTGAGCCAGCACCTCTCAAGTACAAACCATTTAAATGGGTTTCATGACAGTTTATATACCACCAACCTCCATGGAACATAACGGCACAGTTATCACCACCTCTCAAGTCATTATCATTATCGAATGTAGTGAATCTTACACCGTTATGAGCATTTAAATAATCAAAACAGTTTCCGTAAAATCCTGCAAACTGTCAACCTATATTTATCAGTTTCGTCATTAACCTTAAATGTGGAATATTCGGCAAAAGCTGATGCGGGTGATACATTATCATGTTCAAACGTTTCCATGTCTATATAAAGTGCACTCCCAATTGTAGTTAATATGTTTATGTACTTAAGACCAAGCCAGTACTCGCCGGTTGTGTTCCCGAAGCCATTTACATATTCATTCCAATTTCTATAAAAGTTTTCAGATCCATCCTGAGGGCGTTGAATTACTGTCCATCCACCATTTGACATGTCACACCACACCCCAATATCAACACCTTCCTTCGGTTGAATAACATACATACCGTCTTCAGCATAGCCAAGCTCATATAGGGATAAACAGTCAAAAACGCCTGGTAGACGATGTATTTTCTTGTTTAACTTTTCGGATGTCTGCAAAAATAAATTTTGGTACGAATATTTATCGTCAGTCATTTGCAAATAAGAAAATATATAAATGAGGATGGGTCAATATGTAGTGCAATATGGTGACAAAATTTAACAAAACAGCAGATATTTTATAATTGTCTATTTCAACACCTCAAAAAATCTCCTATTCCAGAATTTCAAAGTTTTATCCATTTAATCCAATTTTAAATGCGTCAACAAAGTCCATCTTTTAAATAACTGAAAGGTTGCCAACTTAAGTCCATTTTAACTCTTGTAGTGATGACCTGCAAGATGCTTTTTCAGTCTATGAAAGAGGAAAACATCACACAGTGACAGGTTTTGAGAATACGAAGGACAGTTACGGAAAAGGAAAATAATTAAGTGCGAGAGCGTTGTAATTGCAGAAAGTACAAAGTATGCAATTTATTGAAGCGTTTTTTGCATATTTGTTTAAACGACATCTCTTGACAGATCGACCTCTAAAAACAGGACTCTGAACAACAATTCCACGGATATGAAATTAGCGTACATAACTTTCAAGATACTTGTCAATCGCTTTTCAATGCATGATCAACGAATATTTTTCATGGCCCAAATCTTACTTTTTCACTGGAAAACTAGCGTAACAGGCGTAAAAACCATGTGCCCCCGCTATAGCTACGAGTATCAATATGTGCCCAGGTGATCGCAACAGGTGACAAAGTGTAATCTTTCAGTTGGGCACGCGATAGATATTACGTGTATGTAAGTATATTAGGAAATTGTGCTCTTAAAACAAATGGCGTGTCCACGTCATGTCTTAAAATGCATATGTAATAGTTTCTGAATGACCACAGGCTACTTATTGTGTGCTCAGGTAGTGAATAAAATATTTCCTATGTGTCCACTTTTACTTACTCTTGAAAATCAAGCGTTTTTACTTTTTTAAATATAATTCAAATAAGATATAAATTTGATTATTTACCACAGTTGTTTTTATTTTATTATCATCGCCTTTGATCGTTTTCAAAATGGTATTTAAGAAATTGATCTGATTCTTAAAAGTTATCATTATATTAAATATGGTGATTTAAAATGCTTTTTTGTAACATAATATTGATTGATGTTTTACTTATTTTTATGAATTTTCCATGGCATGACAAATCAATAACATTGCTGTTTAAGTTATATATTTTAAATAGATTAATACCTAAGCAAAGAAACGCTATATAAAGATAACCTGCACATATGATGTCAAAACAGAAGTTTTCCTCACATAAACTATACCTGTGTTTTCATCAGAACTTGCATATTCTACATTATTTGCATATTCTTCAGAGCCACAAAGACATGTTTTATTGCTCTCGATGTAGATAAATGCAGCGTATTGCCATTCCATACAATGGAATTTACACGCTGGAAAGAATATACCTTGTGACATACTAACAAGGTTATTCCTTTTTTGTATCTCATTTATATATGACAACTTTAACATCACTGTTTCGCTGGAATTTGTCCATTCTTCACCTAATCCAATCTGTGTTTGCAAAATGACGATACAAATAACCCAAATAGTCCTAAAGTCATAAAATACCATTTTTCTTTTCTAAAAAATATATTTCCTCTTTCTTTCAAGTACCTTTTTTGCCTTCAAAAAATTGACAATACAAATCCAGAGATGAATTGCAGAATGATGTAACTAAATGAAACATATTTTCTTATAACATAAGATGTTTATTACTTGTATGATGCATTGAAAATGAATTTTTGTCTTTCCATCCAAGGTGGAGATATAAATGATTAAAATAAATGAGTGAACTCAGAAAGAAAGGAGAAGTTTCTTTCAGCAACACTAAGCGTGCCATTAGATATGAATTTAGATGACTTCATAAATATGTTATTTCTTACTTTTATATCCATAGTAAAAACTCATTTAATCAGACTACATTGTTTGTTTTTTATTTTATGCTTTTCAGTGGATTACTGATTTATCCGTGAAAATTATATTTGATAATTTCACAGTGAAAATTATCAAAATATAATTTCACTTTTTTCAATGACGAAACTACTTTTTTAAGATTTTCCCCATGTGGTACCTCAATTTTATTTTTACGGACAATTCTGACAATGTCAGGCTGTTAAAAGAAATAGCAAAGCTGAAATAGATAAATAACTTAAATGTCAAAAGTAACACAGAGAGAAAACTTACTTCTATTCCTTAAATTCCAATCACCAAATTTCGTCTCTAAATCTTTTTTTGTTTCGTTTTTACAGTCTGAAAAATACATTCCTTCCCCATGCAAAACTGCTCTTGATGACATTTGGGCATATTCAAGTATCCTACGAGCAATAACTGCCGTATGCTTTATGAAAAATTGAAAAGCATTGACAGCCATCACTCGTAAAATAAGTAAATTAACCCAGCGTTCCTTCAGCAAGCTTCCAAGTTTTCCATTTTCCTAGCTCCTTTTCTGAATGTTTTCACTACTGTCAACCCTTATTTTTTGTCTGTTACAATCCTCAAATAAGTTTTCTTTCTTTTAAAAAGGTGTATGACTAACAAATCCAAATTATATCCTTCTGAATCTTACACAATTATTTTCCTCCCATGAAATACACAACTTTAAAAAATGGCTGCCGTTTACATTTAAGAAAGCCAGGTCTTATATAAATTCGCAGTAAGTAACAGAAATATGGATGGATGGTTGGAATTTTCTCCTGCAAGAATTGTTTGTTTTTATTATTAAAACAAGCGATCATTCATATGTTTTTAATAAAATGAATAAATATCACCGTCATTTAACCTTGATTGGCGGACTTATTTTTCAGCTCAAGACTTCTTGTTTTAAATGAGAAATTCCGTCTAAATGGGGCTCTCAATGGGGGAAACAGATTTTAATATTAACGTAAAAATTATGGAAATTTCGTTTTAACTTGTTTTTAAGCATAAAATAAAAAGAAAATTTGTCTCGTGAACTTTAAAAACAGTATTCTCACTCGTGGCTACGCCACTCGTGAGAATACTGTTTTTAAAGCTCACTCGATGAAATAAAATTTCATCTTACACACAAACAAACAAATATCCTCTATATATTCTTTTGTTACTAGTAATTGTAAAAGTAACTGTATGGGTACTAATAGAAGTAATAGAGGGAGGTGTATGTGTTTTCATTCAAATTTATTCAATGTTGATATATTTATAACAATATATTCACAAGAGCTTATGATAATTTCTGGATTGATTTGTTATTTTGTTTTAATGACATCAATGATATGTTTATAATATTTGTGTATAATTCACCACATGGCTCTTATATAGATTAAACCAGTAAAAAAGTTGATTACCACACAACTACTGTAAGTGATTAACCTGACTATTGATTATTGCTTGTGACTGTAAAGTTAGGACTAAAATCATTCTTGATTTAATCCCCGGTTAGGCAAGTGACGTGTTATATAACATTATTGGTGATGTGCCATATTAAAAATTGTTAAATAATACTTTGATATTCCTAGGCAACCAATCAAAGGTTGCAAGTGTAATCATTATGACAAACGTTTGGTAAAGTTCTGTTGTGCTTTTGATTTTAATTTTTAAATACTCGGTAAATCGATATTATGATAGTAAAGAATGTAATATAACATGTTCAGCGAGCAGAGTGTGCTTGTTAGTTGAATATTACCTAGTAGCTAAAGTAAATTACTTGTTTATTAATGGATGTTTCATATTTTTGTATAATGGATAGAGATGAGACTGTCGGGACCCCTTTACACCTAAACTGTACATATAAACTCCTATTTGCACTAACGGGTATACAGAGAAATGCATGTATACAATCCCGGACAAAGTTTATAGTATCTAGCATAGGTTTAAGTAGAAAGATGAAGGAAACATTCGTTTGTTGAAGTACGATATGCGATTGTCGACATTACAAATTCGATGTATGTCAGACAATACAAAAACTTCAATGGACTGTTTTTTTATTCGTAATTTAGTAAAATGAAATAGTCTTTTAAAGTATTTAACCCCTTTTCTTCTTCCATACATAAGGCAATGTCTTTTCGGTTTTACGGAATGTTATTTCGTATTTACAAATATTATTTCGATTTGATAAAATACATGTCTTTCTACACAGCGACATTTCGCTTTAAGCTCTACTATTCGAATTGACAAAATGTTTCCTAAGTATGAAATCGTCCTTTTTTCTTAGATTGTGACTGATGCTGACAGCTTGTTTCACTATTTTACACCAATTTGCAAGTGTAACAATAAAATTTCGGAACAAGAAATGTTTATCGATCATGTATTGCGATTGACAAGTGTTAAGTTATTTATGTAGTACTACGTTATGTTTTCTCCAAATTTCAGTTTCTAGTTGCTATCACATCCAAATATTATGATAGATATTCGTGTTAAGAAAAATTAAAAACTCTTTAAAAAAACGTCCGTCTTTTGACTGGTATAAAAGGCCTATATATTGTGCATGAAACGCTTTTGCATACTAGGAAAGAGCTGCTGTAATTGAATGTTTGAGGGAAAACGGGTGGCCGTCCATAAACTGAAGACTTGACACTCTGATACCATTTTGTTGCATTTAGTGACTGAACAAAAACACATCTTGCAAGTCATATCTTCATAAGTAAAAATTGTCTTAGTTCGGCTATTTTTCGGTTATTTAAAGATAGACATTATTGTAAAAAAAAAAAATTCTTTTCTAAATTTTTTAACCATATTGGATTACATATTAACCAAGCCTTGTAGTATGCCAAATTATTTTTTGAGCACTTTTTTAAAATTTGCTTATTATAATTTATTCATAATTTTGTGTTTGACACGTGTATTGTGGTGTTTTCCAGAGAGGCCTATCTTGACAATCAAAACAGTATCACACTATGGTACTTAAATGAATTATGCATATGCTTAAACAATAAATGGATTGTGTTTTTTAAGGTTATGACGTAATTCCTATTATATTAATTTCTACATACTTTTATTCCTTCCTCTGGGAATACTTTTGTAATTAATATTTACAGTTGGATTACTGATTGTTCTAACGAAGTGTTTGTTTGACAATCCCAACATTCGGAAACATGATGACTTTGTTAATATTGCATGAGTTGTATAACAATAATGAATACAACAGAGCAAAAATAGAAATTTTCGCTAAAATAGTTGCTCTCGAATCCATATCATTCAACTGATGCGATCCGAGCTGGCCTGAAATAAAACAAACATTGGTTTTCGCTCGGTATAAACAGGTAAGTCAAACATGACAACTACTTTGACCTGAGGAAAATAGATAAATACAGAATCCCTAAAGAAAGCCCAACACGGCAAAATTGAAAATGTTGCAGGCTCGGTTTGATTGAGCCTGTTCATGGACGGTACTGGAATGTGCAAGTTATCGTCCACGCCCCCTAGCACCGGCTTAAGCAGAATTCAACATTTAAACATGAAATAGTAAATTTTGAATCTAGAGACATCCGCAGATGCGTTCATGCGGCGGTTATCATGGAACCTTCAATGTGACACTTCCGTGCCATTCCATGAAAAGCGGCGTATGGTCCCCAAGTAATAAAAAGCGTGTGCCCTAAACGAGAAAACAATGGACGGAACTAAATAAAAGCCTAAATATTTACTAAAATTACTTCTTAAGACTTACTCAATCTAACCAAACACTACTGTTACAATCAGAAAAAAGGTGTCAAAACGCAGTGATAATTACAAGTATTATGTCAAACATACCCACAGTTATCAAACATGACAACGAAAAACATTTGTGCACGTACAATATCTGACCGACCACATAATTGTGCGAAGTTTCTTTTAACATATCACGTTTTTGAGCTACAGACAAACTAAAGACCATAATAATTTGCTTACTCAAGTTAAATGATCAAATTGATTGATTGAGCTAGAAACGACATCTAAACTTTATAATTGCATTACGAAATTAAAATGATACCTTATGGTATTATACGTATCCTCATTGAATTCATAAATAGTTCAAATATCACTTGAAATCATTTCTAATTAGTTTATTAATAACAGTTACGACGCAGTAACAGCTTTTCTCAAATATCTCAGTGTTTTTTTGTCGGATTTTCGCAAAAGTGCGGACATAGCAACGATTTGTTTGCCGATAGGAATTATTTCGTTACCATCGATATATCCTGGATTCAACCATTTAATTATATGCTAGGAGTATTCAAAATATGTTATAAATCTACATAGCTTATTTCCTTTTATTAACATTAAACATTTTATATATTTATCCCGGCTGAATTTATTTGTGTTTGAAGATTAAGAACAGAAAATTGTACACAATGACAATATTTGCACACAGACGTTCTTTATCAAAGCTTAATTAGGTTTTTTTCTTTCACTGAATTTTTTTCTGAAATTTGCCTGTTATTTTCTTATGATTGACATTGGGACTTTTTGACTAAGTTTTTTTACTTGGAGTAAGATGGTGTAAAAGATGTTTGGCAATTATTCGCATAATTTTATTTTACTAATAGAATGTAAATACAATTTTTTGTACTGACTTTACTACGACTCTAGTTACATCAACATATTTTGAAAAGGTTTGTATTTTATTTAAACAACTTAGCAATGCTAGCTTTATTTGGACTGTCTAACAGAGCGCCATGCTTAATATACATGTATATTATTGCAAACCTGCATTGCTTTGTTTATATACATAGCGCTATTCAGATGTTGTAGCTTGAAATAAATTTTAAATCATAGACTTTAAGCAATACCACGGATTCTGGTCTGTCGTATGGGTCAGCATTTTATATACCATTACCTTCCTCTGTTATTTCTGCTGTTGTTGCATATATTTTCCTAAGAGCAAAGAAGATCATTGTGTCACACGGATCCAGTGCACTAGGTTCTGAATCTTCTAAAACATATGTTTAATTGATTATAACCTCATGAACATTTGACACATGATGTTTAAAGACCTCAAAGAGCGACACATATCTTATTCACCACCGGTTTGTTATAAAATCACTTTATGATACGTGAAAAACCGACATTGCATTTCTGAGCTGAATTCCAAGTTATATCCTAGTTGATATACCTTTCAAATGTTATAAAACAGCAGCTATGAAATTACTTTAAAGTTAAATTAACTGTTAGATTGTGGTGATTTTTGACAATATCATATTTGAGAACTGTTGTTTTAGCTTATCACCATGTGCGAGCCCACACGTCTTGTGACATCAGATAATGAGTTGAATGTCGGTACACAGAAACAAACTGAAACAGATTCATAATGTGCGCACTTAACGAGGCTTTAATTTTTTTGAAAAAGAGTTTGAAATAAAAGAAGTAGCTTGAAAAATACAATTTGTAATCGCTTTGATAGTGTGTGCCGACATTGAATTCCATATCACTTATCTTGTCTCAGGTCACGTGGGACGTCCATGGACGGTTATTTTTAAATAAGTTAGTGTCCAAATGTGTTTTTTTTTTTCTATTTAAATGCAAAGTAGTCATTGGTTTTGTACTTTAAAAAAGTTTTCAAGTTATGAAGCAATGAAGCTACATAATGGAACGTAATTGGTTATTCTCATGTTCTCGCTCATGTCAGAATGATGCACAAAGCTGTTATTGACGTCTTTGCCCACCAGAGTTATGCTTGATTGTTGTCATTTGACCATTACAGGGTCGGTGTGAATAAAAGCATTACACCATCAATAACAACAACCTTGCTACATGTAGAGGAAGGTTTCCGATCATCAGCTCATTTAAAAACAAATTCGATCTTATTTAATTCGTTCCTGTTTTCAAACAAACTCGCATTCCTAATTTTATTTGAATTCTAGTTGAGTATGAATGTGTAAAACCAATAAATTGATTTTTTCATTGACAAGCCAATGTTTCAAAATCTTTCTACAAAAGTTTGTTTATTGTTGCTTTAGCTCATTACATAACATTGTTACTCTACCTTATTACGTTTCCTTGTTATCAGTTTTGAAATAACGACGTAACTGAACTTTGATAAGCTTACAATTCTGAATTATCTTAATGACGTTTCAAAAGTGCAAAAGGCTAAATATGAATTGGCTGCTGAAAATAAAGTCAATTATTTGGAAGCAATGCATTTAAAGTGTGGTCGATTGGATGATAAAGTCTTCAAACATAGTGCAAACATGTATTCTAAAAAATTGTCTGACCAGTTAAAAAAATGAAAACGTTGAAGGTTTAGGTATATAGTTTGTTGAGAGACCTGTTCATTGTCATATCGGAATGCAATATGTGTTTATCAATACTGATAAAATGTAAAAATTGATGATGAATAAAACTTTAATGTGACTATTTTGATCCATTCCTTGAAAAACAGAGTATTGAGTCGAATATTGTTTGTGTTCTTAACAAGAAAGAAATGCCACTGCTTAATCATATGGAGTTTTAAATAAACATTTTAGCTCTGCTTTGTTGCGAATGTTTTTAAAACGAATCATAAAGCATTTGTTAACATGTGAAGAAACAATGGCTCTAACGTTAGAATATTGATTGCATTAATATTTAAGGTAAATTTTAGAGTATTATAACAGTATCGGGTATAACGAACTATCGCAGTTATCTAAAACAATTGGTTGTATCAGTCATTAATTAGTAATTAGTAATACCAAATAGGAAAAACAACAAATGTTAAACAAAACTATTTATTATTTACACATTATGGTAAAATATTGTTTTAATAATGTATCACATAGATTTACATTTATGCAATATCCAACTATAAGTACTATAAGTACATGTAGTTGTGCATTAAAATTTTTATTTCTTCGTTCTGAATATTTCATGCATTTTTCTGTAAATGTCCTGAAAATGAATACATAAGGCAGTCACAGGAACAAAGCTTTCCTCATAAAGAATTGAATAATGGTTTTCTAACCAGACCCACGTGGGTCAGGTTAGAGCGTTCAGATTTCACAATAGTTGTCACAATGATCTTTGGAAACGTTACATAGCATGTCAAATGAATGGCTTAGACTTGTTTCAAGCATACAATATCCACAGTATTTGTTATTGTAACTTCCAGCGTTTGTTCACGTCACATGACTTGTTTTAAAACTACACGGTGATTCTGTTGGCTTCTAATTTTTTTATAAATATTTTACGCGCTTTAAACTCAAAATATATACATTGTAGAATCAACAAGACCAGATATATTATGGCTTTAGTTAAAGATGATAATAAAAATTAAAAAAAGAAAGTAAGTCTCTAAAATAATTAACATTCCCGTAAGATTGTATAAATAACTAAATCATAAAGAATGTTTTATGTGTACATAGGATGTTGCGTGAAATGGTGATGATTTGAAAAAGCAATGAAAAAATGATTTGTTGAAGTTTAACAAAACGCTGCTTAAATAAGCACTATGTTGAAATGTTGTATCCCTTCATACAAATGAGTAACATTTTATATGCGGCCAACTTATAGACATTTCCGGGATTTGTTAAAAATGTATATAGGCAAAATTAAAACTGTTCAATAGAATTTTTTAAAACTTGGCATGTTGTTAGAATACTATAATAGTAATTGTGTTGTTGTAAAGTGACAATCATTAACACTTATTAATTTGTCTTTGCATGTGTTTTTTTAAAGCATTGATACTCCGATGTATTGTTTTGAATGAGCTACCTTCGTGAAATTAACTGTTTGTTATAATTATTATAACAGATTTAATAGATTTCTTATGTCTGATGAAATGTCTATTCTAAATGCTGCGCTTTATTCTAGAATAATTGACTGAATGACGAGTTTGAACGGTGATTTTCATTCCATGTTCATTATTTTCAGGTCAACTATTCTATCAGCTGAAGTATAACAAATAGAAATAAACGACTGTGAAAATTAAACATACATCGACAGAACTAGTACACAAATTCTTCATTTAAAATTATATAAAATGTACGTGTAGTCGACATTCTCGACAGAACTAGTACACAAATTCCTCATTAAAAATTATATAAAATGTACGTGTAGTCGACATTTCGTACCGTGACGTATCTTACCATATCAATTCTTTTGTTGTGATAAGCTGTTTTTGTTTTGTTCCATTATCTTAATAAACATGTTAAAACTGTAGTACAGTATCGTATTTGCCGTCGGTTAACTGTTAAGGAAAATTTCTTTTAACCTTCATTACTACATTGCGAATAGAATACTTATAACCCCAACAATGCAACCAGTTTACCCCATTGGCATACGAAGAGTGACTCCCTGATAAGTACATTCCATTCAAATTGCTATGATGACACTTTTCGTACCACCATGCTCCTTTGAACATTTGAGCGCAGTTGTCTTCTGATTCGTCGTTATCCCTATCTTTAGTCGAGAACATATTTCCATCGTGTAAACTTAGACTATCACCACAATTTCCGGAGAAACCACTAACATGCAATCTAAAATTTGAAGCCTCATCGTCAACCTTAAACATGGAATAGTGGGCAATAGCACTTGTAGGTGATATATCTTCAAATGCTTCCATTTCAATTCTCAAAGAACTGTCTATAGTAGTAAGCCGATATATATTCTCAAGGCTAAGCCAGTACTCTCCTGATCTGTTACCGAATCCACAAACATAATCCGTCCATGTTCTGTAGAAGTTTTCTGACCCATCCAGTCGACGTTGTATAACTGTCAGTAGTATAGAGTATGATGGTTCCGGGACACTTTGAAGCCTAAAAAAGTGTTTATCTATCAAACCAAAGGGTAAGACAGCTCGACATAGCTTACCCATCAACCCAAAAAGTAAGACAGCTCGACATAAAACCCCATTTTATTGATTTAAGAACACCCTCAGGCCAAAAACCCCCCGGAACCATCATACTCTATACTACTCATAAATAGAATACTATAAGACAGGCGGGAACCGACGAGTCCTTTTTTATAATTAAAATATATATAAAATGAGTTT